CGTTCGATGGGCTGAATTGCACAAAACGCATGATCGCACCGGCTAGTCTGGTGCGCGTTGCCATTCTCCTTCGTGCGGAATGAAGTCAAAACAAGCCGATATGAATCCATGTGTTCAACTACAGCGCAGGAGCCATTCCTGCTCTTAACGATCTGCAAACGTAGCGCAAAAATGCATGATTGCACCGGCAAGCCTAGCGCGTTGCAACCTAGGCGTTTAGAAGTTTTATTGCCTTTCAAGGTGGCTGCGTTGGTGAGGATGGATTTGCGCTGCATTGCTTGTTTTGAATCTAAACAACTACTGCTTTGATTCAGGGAGTGGCCGAAAGCTCCTCTTCGGTGACGGTGCCGCCACTTGGTAGTTTGTTCATGCGTGAGCGTTGGTCGCTGTCGTTGTTTCAACGATTCCTACTTTTCGCCTATGCGCCGTTCGGGATCGTACTGCTATGCTTTCGCGTTATTGTCGGTGTACATATTTTCCTCACTGCATGTATTCTACGCAAAACAATGCTGTTACGGTGCACGGTACGTTCCTTTAGCGATTCTCCTTCAAATAACTATTTTTCTTTTTGAAATTTTTTTATTTGTTTACTTTTGCCAGACAAAGCGATTAGTGACATTGAAAGTAGAAAAACATATAATCATTTTTTTGTAATGCGTTTTTTGCTGTGTAAAGTACAAAACGCATATTGTCACGGGATTATCTGTGTGTGTGTGTGTATCCCACATTTTGTCCCGCACTTTCAAATCGGGAACCACGAAAGCTAGGCGGCTGAAATTTTAGTATAGTGTTCCCCGCCAACAGGTGTCGCGGCAAATTTAAATTCAGCCTTCCCGTATCTGCGGGTAGTACATACGGCCCCGTAAAAGTTTTTCGGGTAAAATCACTACCTCGGGAACCACGGGAGATAGAAGGCTGAAATTTTGTGGGCATGTCCACTGTCCATGTGCCACAGCATTCCAGAAAATTTAAATTCAGCTTTCCTCTGTCCGCGGGTAACATGTACGGCCCCCGTGAGAATTTTTGTCGGGTAAATTATTATCTCGGGAATCACGGAGTCTGGGAAGCTGAAATTTTAGGGTTGTGACCCCCTGCCCACGAACGATCTTGCAAATTCAAATTCAGTTTGCCCGCTGTCTGGGGTATCACTTACGTGCCAATGAAAATTTTTGCGGGTAAATTCTCGGAAACTACAAAGTCTACGAAGCTGAAATTTTGGGGTAATGACCCTTTGCCCACGTACAACCTTACATATTCAAATTCAGCGCTCCCGCGTTCTCGGGTATCACTTACGGCCTCGTGAAAATTTTGGCGGGTAAACGATCTTCCCGGAAATCGTGGAAGGATATTCACTCTTCAGGGTCTCAAATTTAGCTTTCTTGCGCCGGTGCGTGAAATTTTTAACTATTTTCCAACGTTTCAACTATTTTTGCACTGACCAAAGTACAAAGCAGTAAAAGTCATTAATAGGCAATCGGTCGGTGGGCGGAATTGCGCAAAACGCATGATAGCACCGGCTAGTTTGGTGCGCGTTGCTATTTATTTTCAAGGCCAGCGTAATTCCAAGACTAGATAAAGCATTGTATATTTAAGAAAAATTGGTGCCAAAATTGGAATAAACATTTCTCACCTTTTTGAAAGCTGAGTATGATACTGAGTTTTCTTGGGCATTCTCATCTTTTGTTCCAGGTGTTACGGGTAATGTCGTGCTTGTTGGGTTTGGTAGTGTTCAGTGGTGGCCCGGCTGGAGGCTGGGATCGCAAAACGCGACTTCTCATCGCAAATCACGTTTCAACGCTGGACCATGTGGCCGTTGATCTGATCCAGCCATGCATACTCCCTTCCGTTTGGGATATACCCAATATTTTGCGTTGGTAAGCGATATTTTGCTTCTTCAATGTTGGGTCTATGGGCAAAATCTGTTATCTAGAAACTGTGGACCTTGACAGATTGGAAGTGGCACCTTGTAGTTTTGGCAGACCTCTATTAGGATGTTATGCCGTCAGAGGGGGCATACTGTGTCGAAATACATATGGATCGGGAAAGACAGAGGAACGAGGTATTGCCTTGTGTGCATCGGAGAAACCGCCTTCGGATGATTTACATTGGCGATGTGCGTCTTTGCGAATGATCAAAAGGCCTTGTTTGTCCATTCGGATAGTCCAACTAATAGCATATCGCTGAACAAATATTTCAGCATACTAAGTTACACATTGATTTAATGGCTGCGTAAACTGATATTTTGTCATTTTTCTTCTAAAAAGAAACAGTAGTTTTTACTTTTTTATAAAAATTGGGGAATAATTCGCCTTTATTCAATGAAGATGATAAAAGTGCGAGAACATCTTGATTTTCTGATTTTTGCTCCTGTTAAGGTGTTTGGGATATACGGATTTGGGTGCTCGACAGGGACGTGCAGAACTTGTTCGGCGTGCCAGGATATTCTGTGAAAACAGTGCTGTTCCACTGCTCACATTTCCAGAAGGGGCAGTAACTAGTGGTTGCAAAGGTCTTCTCAAATTCAGCACATGGCCTTTTGAGGTACATCTTGTTCATACTGCACGTCTGATGAGTTTATTATCCAATTTTGAAACGATTTTTATGAATAACTAAGAACGCGAAACAGGCTTCCAAGTGATACATACAGCACAGCTGAAGTTTTAAGTAATGCAGACAAGAAAATGTCACTATTTCTCGACAGCCATTTGTAACTGTAAAGATATGCTTATCCTTAAGTGATACAGGTGGCGGATTCTGTCCAG